ATACAAATCTCACTCACTTAACAACGAGCACGGCATTGCTGCCGTGATTGTAGGGAGTATTCACTACACTGTAGATGCACCAGCCAATGCCAGCAGCTCTGCGTCTTTTGCCCCCAACGACAACAGAAACGCAGATGAAAAACACAAATGTGAGGCCTAGTATTGATCAAAGTTCCCTCATACGATGGGGTGATGCGAATCCATAAGACTAGCGGTACTAGGAGCCCAGGAATTGTGAGGAAAACCCTCATGCTATGCCAAGGTTTCTTCAATATAACGTAAAATATTTCACTTTAGTACAAATATTTGCAGTTATTTTTACGTATTATTTGGTTCTATCTCTAAAGGACTACTGTGGGGCGCATCCTCACAACCCCAGAGCTGAGCATAGCGAGCGGGCAGGCATTAGCTAGCATCTGATACAGCAACATAACAAACTAACAAAGGTTAAACGGGACTAGGTCTCTCAGACTACTTGTCTCAGTTTATTCTCCAAAATTGTTCTGTTCTGCAACCCCATTAGAGCCGGTACTGCGGCCTTTGCGGCTGGGAGAGGAGACGGCGTAGCATGTTCCAACACTTTTTGCACCACGTCTCATGCCAGCCTCTCGTATAGTCATACCGGTCTCACTTCGTAAAGAATAATTAATGCAACAATCAATGTTGTACTCAATGTACATCAATAAGCACTTCCAGAGACTTCCACTGTTCATTCAACCCTCACTCATTCCACAACGAGTACGGCATTCTTGTCCTGGTTGTTGTGAGTATTCACTACACCTACTGAGGAGCGGTGGACTGATAATTCCAACGGAATGCAAAGGGATAACAACGATAACTGCTTGTAACTTTAAAGGGGAAAATGATATGAAGGTTTTCGGTTAGGGTTGTTAGGGCTATGGTGGTAATACAGCTGTCGACTAGATCCCCCAAATTGCCNTTCAGTTTACCCTATGGTTGCGGCCCGGGCTAGGGCCGAGAGAGCTAGGCGGGTATTCGTATCGCTCGCAGGCCAGTCCTGCACCCTTCCACGAGATCGCTACTTCACTCGCATGCGGGGTATTCATCCTACTAAACTAGTATGGAACGATTAGTTCAGCCTTGACCCTTGCCGGCACTGACTTTGTACTGCCAGGCACTAGATAGACATCCAGGTAGACTTGAATGTGCAGCCTTTCGTACACAGCCTGCGGCAGCAGGGTAATGTATAATGAAAGGGGGGTGATGAAGTTGGCCAGCCGTTGGTTAGCTCGCTTTGCTGTTCGTTCTCGGGTGAAGGCATTAGCTGCTTTATAGGTTTATCCACCGCATGGAGAAGTCAGCATACCGTTAATGTCAGCGTTCTAAAAGGGTATATGGAGTCGCCAAGTTTTTCCCGAAATCCTTCCCAAAGCGAAGACGTCCTTGCCGCAAGGAGCAACTGCGGGAGGTTGAGACCAAGTGTAAAGAGAAGAGGCCACCGAACAGGTGAATATTACTGGCGTCAGGAGAGTAGAAGCGCTAATGGGTCTCTGATGGTCTGTTGTTGTCTCTTTGCGCAAAGTAGTTCTTTAGGAATATATACACACCGTCCTCGGCTCAGTGGCGTCGACTGGAAACGTGGTTGTGTACAGCGCGCCGTAGAGTTGCGACAAATACAGCCCTTCTCTAAAAATAACAGTACCGCTTGAATGAACAGACGTACATCTTTGTGTCTCCGTGCTGTACAAACCCTAATTGCTTTTCTGCTTTGATATCCGCCCCTGCCTCTACCTACGGGCAGCTCGCCGCCGTCCGAAACACTTTCATTTTTTCCATATTTTAGTGGTTACATTCCCTTCCGAATTGCCTATAGTGTTGGCGCATGCATCGAAGGGTTATTTCGGCATGGTTTCATTTGGCTTCGCCTTGCAGGAGTTGCAGTAAGAAGTGTTATAACTCATGAAATGACGTTTTTTATCCGCACCAGCATTAAGCCTATGTGCCNCTGTGTTCAGGAAACTGGAATAGTTGAGGGGATGTAAGCTAATCTTGAAGTGATCTTACCTTAAGTATTTTGACTTTATTACAGCTCACAGCGGTTCTCGGCGAAGTTCAAGGAGTCGCTATATGTACGCGCTTGTTAGTTACCACAGTCTGGCTCCTCGACGAGACGGTGGAGGTACCGGTCGCGTTATCCGCGTTGCTGCATGGTGTAATTTTTATAGTGAAAGTGTAGGCTGCCGGTAAGGATGATCCCAACGAAATTGTACACGGTTCAAGGCTGTTGTCTCCTGGGTCGCCGGGTGGCGTGTAGGGCAGTAGATGCAACGTACAGGCCATCGCAGCCCCTTCAGACGGGAATAAACTGTTCAATACGTAAAATACCCTACGAATATGGAGACAAAGAATCTGATCTTTAATCGAAAGCCTGTAAATTTAAAAATAGGTTTTAATTTAGCTCTTGACCAAAACCAATTAGACTTTACCCTAGAACAGTACGTAGGGCCCTTTGTGAGAGCCTCTTTGGCAAACACTGAACGGCAAAAGAACTCAACGCACTTTGACACTCCTGGAGCTATCTGCGTCGGGCGCTTTTTGAAAAAACTAAAAAAGCGTTTTCCTATGCTGCTGCTGATTCTTGCGAAGGCGTGTTCCCTTTCGTTTCAAGATGACTTCCTTTTTCCAATGTAGTGCGGTGAGAAGTCTTAGGGGGGAAAAGCAGTAGATGCTGTAGGGCCTGCAGCACTGTTCGTCGCTGTATGGCTCGCACTCGGCGGGAAGTGTCATGCTTGTCACGATAACCGCATGCATGCAAGCATGCATATGACGAGAGCGCAGCCGCTGTGATCTCAGGGGGTTCAGCTTTGTTCTGGCTTCCCGAAATTCCGCTTTCGAGAAGTTGACCAATGAGCGCGTGCTGGTGCTTTAACAGGAAATCGCTCTGCAGTTGCTGTTGCTCTCCATTGCAATGGACTTTATCATCCCCATCTGTCGTTATTTGCTCTGCTCTCGATATCTGTACCGAATTCTTTGAGGGTGGAAAGCTGTACAGCTTTGGCTTAGGTGTCTTCAAGGAGGCCTGGAAGGCACGGAAGGCAGGATCCCAGCGGGATTGCTTGCTGGTCCTAATGCGTTGTGTTGGAGCCCCAGTCTTCTGCAACTTTTCTTCTTTTTGAATTGGCAACAGGGTATGAAAACGAGCACGAATTTTCCTGCACGATTCCGCTGCGCCGGGGTTGGGGGGGATGTGATGTTCAATTTTCGGCACCGCTGACCCGTTTACTGGATGCATCAAAGAAGAGTAGACGTCAGAGAACTGTGTACCCTTATGAAGCGGATGGGAACCACCAGCAAAAGTCTCATGGCCGTTGCAAAGATCCATCTCGAAACGTTGAGCTAATAATTGGGTTTGCAGGTTCCGTTCTTTCGTTTTCGTCTCCGCCTGCTTCTCGATGGCAAGTTGCGACATCTCGAGTAGTAAAAGTCGCTTCTCCTCCTCTACTTCTGCCTGTTGAAGAGCCCATACGGCTGAAATTGTTGGGTTTTGATTTTCAGTCAATTCGACATTCGGTTTTGGGGTTAGTGCGTACAACCTGTTTTCATCCTTTAAGTCATTGGTTGTTGTATCCCCTCCATTCGTATCAACTTCATCGCCTTGTGGCTTTGGTGCAGCACTGCTGCTATCACACTCGCCGTGTAATGATGAGAAATTGATAGCGTAGCGATCTTTTTTACCCAACGACAACATTTGGTTAGCCGTACAATTGGAGTGGCGGCCATGCAACTGGGAAGCCTTGCAAGGTTCTTTCCGAGAGTCAGAAGAACCAGCAGTCACTAGCTCATGCTCAGATAGGCCTTTTTCACGCCACCCATTGCGGCATATGCGTACCAGTTGTAGCCCTTGAGCCTGCGTATTTGCGGACACTTCCAGCCTCTTGGACACTGCGGAGCTGATGCTATCTGTTTCTGGTTTGGTATTCTTGACGTTATCTACCATACATGATATCTGTTTTTCCATACGAGAAAACAGTGGAAAGTTACCATCGCCTTCTTTCTCTTCGAGTGCACGTTGGCCCTTCGACTGCATTTGAGTGCCTTTACCGGCCCAGGTGGTAGGGCTCGCACTTTCGTTTGGTCGGCAGGTACTTGCGGGTTTGACAGCTGTGCTCGCCGACAGGTGAGCGAAATTTGACGTATCTGGAGCCCAGTGCTCGTGCGGTGCCTTTGGGTTTGTCGCTGCAGTCCTGGAACTGTTTGTGCTATTTCGTGCATATGCAGCTGATGGAGACAGAAGTNTGATGCTGATGTTGCTGTAGTTGAACGTCGACTTGCTTCTTAAGCTGCTGATCAGCCACGACAACCGCCGACCTGCTTTTAAACTGCATGTGTTTTTTGTGTTCGCCTTCCTCGTAACTCAGTAAAGTGCATGTTTGGTGCCCCCCGCGTTGAAAAAAGGTCCTCTTTGCCTTCTCCGCAGCAGCCTCCTTCATCTGTGGCTTTGCAAGACGACGCAGGGCTAACGGGAAGGCTCTTTCATGGGGATGCAGCGATCCGCCGGAACTGTAAGGAACAGCTGGCATGCCTTGGAGCTGCCGGCCTAAATATCCCACCCTTTGTGACGAATTCAGGCTATTCTGGAACTGACAACTAAGCAACGTGTTGGGGAGGGTCCCGTTGGTCTGCTCTGTAGATTTACTACTACCGACTTCCGAAACAGACATGCCTACGCTTGATGTTTTGGGTTCATCAGTGGGTTGTCTCGCTCTATTCCGGCCTATATCCAAGGGCAAAGTTTTGTATTGTTGATAACTTGAAGAAACAGATACCTGCATATCCAAAATTGACATTGGAGAATATATGAGCTGCAAATTACGCTCAAATTAGAACACGATGAAACAGTTCCAAGACCAGTTCGGACTCCTCCGTAGTGGCATGTGCCAGTGCAGGAACGCTTCCAAATCCGCTTGTGTATGGATATTTGCAAAGTATGTCTATCTTGCAAGGTGCAGTATTATTTCGGATTTACCGTAGGCTGCGCTGTTGGAGGACCTTTTGAGACATTTCTCTCATTTGGCAAACGGAGGCGGCAATGGATATGTGAAGGTGAACGAGATTCTATTTTCGCCAATTCTGAAGCAGCAAGCATTCGACCTACAGTGGCAAAAGTTTAAAAGGTTCAGTAGTCGAAATGGAGGATAAAGGGATAACCATCATAAAGGCAGAAGGATGAAAGTTATGACTTTGCACCGCCGGTGACGATACAAAAGTGTGGATACGGAACGTTAAGCCCTGCGTGCGAAAAACATTCTCGAACTTCACCAGAGTAAAGAACTATGCTGACCTGCACTGGCGGCTTCCCCCGTACTTCCGAGTTCGGTCTGAAGGGATATCGATTCTGAAATCACCAGTGCTGCGAGTAAGTCATCTGCGCTTCGACTGTCATCTTCTGTCGGGTGAGAAGCGTCCGAAGGAAGGCGCTCAATTTTTTTTTGTCCCTTGGAAACTGTTGACGGCCTAGCTGCCGCGGCCATTCCTCTCTCTTTCCATAATGACGCTAGCTTTATCCTTTCCCTCCTAGCTAACAGAGCTTCACGCTGTTCTTTTATGCGTTGTAGCTGCTGTTCTTTTGCTTCTTGCTGCCTTCGATGTAAGCGACGTCTGTTTTGCTGTCGTACTTCTTGCATTCGCTTGTCGATGTCCAGCTGACGCTCTGTCAGCGTTTGTTGTACAGAGAGGGGCCCACAAACAAGTGACGTCTTGGTGCCGTTTCGATTTGTCGGTGATCCGCTACTGTGTTGTGGCAGCTGGGACCGTCCAACTGTGACACCATCGACTCCTAAAGAGGATGCAATCGTTGAAGTCTTAGGAGAGCCAGTCCCCTCAAGGGAGAGAGCTGCAGAAGTTCCGCCACCATCCTCCGGTATTCCCAAAACTGATTCTAAGGCGACATCGCAGCCTACTTGTTCCTGTGCACTCAAGTAATCCCCTTGCCGCAGAGAGCCCCGAAATAATTCACGGGTATTTGCGGAGGATGTCGCCGGTGTCACCAAATTGACAGGTGGCACATGTGTTTGGGGTTGCATATAACTGCCACACCGAACTGTACTATTACCGCTGTTGCTCCCGCTGCTAGGCCACTGGGAAGCAGGAAACCAGTCGTCTCCCTCTGTCATATGCGATGCCTTGGCATCTTCTATAGGTTTCAAGTCCAACCCCGTCTCAACGCTACAGTCTCCAGACTTCGGGCAACGGTGATCCTCCGTAGATTCTGGAGGAAATTTACGAGCAGCCATGTGAATCTACACAGTAAAACTGAAGTTTGCGTCACACCTCACCTACATATCATACGACAGAATTCAGAAATAAACGTAGCACGACTATGAAACAAAGGTCAGGGTACGAGACACTGTGCAGTCGAGCAAGTGAGGCTGAAGCAGCGCGGCAACGTCGGTCAAAGTATTGTGAAAACCGGAGGCCTCGTGTTTCTTGAACTTGGCGCTAAGGTTGAGCTCCTAGCACTCTGAAATAAAAACCCAAAGGACAAATAGTGTATCCGGCAAAACGGCAAGACGCAATACGGATAACATAACAAAATAGGATGCCGAGATGAGCCTTATGCAGAGATGGGGGGCCAAAATCAATCCTTCTGCACGAAAACATGTGAATGCACTAGCTAGCCCAACAAATCAATTTCGGTTTTTAATATTCGACCTTGTGTACAAGGCCACATCTTCTTCTTAGGAGCATCACTGACAAACGCATGCAGTGACCCCTGGGGCTGGGATCCAGATGTATACGCCTAAGCTGCATATATCTTGCATTTGGCTAAGCGAAGCATGTGTTGTGGTTCGGTGTGCAACCGTCACTTTTAAGTTGGAAAGTAACCTATAACAGGAGCGATATGGGCTGTTTCCGACTTCAGTTGCTTCGTAAGGAGTTGACCTGCAAGCGGCCGCGGTGTGCAGGTGTAACACTAGTTCTCGCTTAGGCCGAAAACAACATATAACGCTACCGTTGCGCAAACGTGCTACATGTGAAGTGCAGTGCTCGGTGCACATAGTACCATTCAGTGTTGTTGTGAGACAAATTAGTATTCGCGACTTAAGAATGAAAGTTGCACACCGTGGCTGCTCGCATCTCATCCCCGTACGAAGCAACCTGGACATCACAGAAGTTGTACATCAGACGTAAAGCGTTCGGTGTGCATAGTAGCCTTCTCTGTCAGGGCAAAGCTATGACTGAACATGCAACTTCCTTGCGGGTTTCTCCAACGCCTGCATGCCCGTGCTGCCGTTGGTACCACTCTCCGAAGGACGGTTGGCAGTTCTCGTGAGTCGCTTAGCACACCAGTACGGTAACGCAAGTTACCTCCAAACGGAGTCCTATACTTTTGGCCGATCAGCCGTTACGATTGGTTATCATCGATGTTGTGAAAGACGAACTATCAGAGAATGATGGAGAGTCTCGACTTCAGAACATAGCACTTCGTTATAGATATTATGACTCGTGAATCGTGCTGCAGCGAGTCAAATAATCCAAACGTTGTTGTCGAATACTCCCCACACTCATTTTCGCTGATGTGTTGTCTTGTGTTGTTCTCTTGGTGATTCAACTAGGCGGGTATGACGTTGCATTAGGATTATCCGGGGTCTCCACAGCGTTTCTAAGCGCAGCTCGCTATAGACGATGGGGCTAGGAGAGTGAATCGGCATTTTGTCCCCTCGAAGATAACGTAAAATTTATCCGATTGCACGAAGTTAGACGCAACTGGGTTAAATCGCTAATCTCATGTCGATCCATCTGGAATCGCTGCTTCGCTTTACCACCAAGAGAGTCTTGTCGTGAAGGCTGTCTCCCTGGCACCGACTGGCAGAAGTACCGTCGTACGGAAACGACTAAAATGGTGGTTTACCACGCCCCATGTGCATCCCGCTGCTCGGGGCTTTCCCTCTTCGAACATTCGCAGTCGGTATCTCCTTGCACCAATCGATCATATATTAATTGCTCATACAGTGTTTGTATACCTTACTGCGCATCGGTGGCACGCTTTCTCCCGCACCAGCAAGCAATGTTAGGGGAGAGGAACTCGTCGGACTTACTCGGGTGCACTCAGCTGCTTTCTGCGATAGGCAAAAGCTAGAAGCAACTGGGTGGTCTTCAATTCGAAGACCATTTCATCGAAGCTGCCTAGAGCGTACCTGTGGCCCGAGTGCAGTAGTATCTAGTTCAGGAAAAGGGACAATGCATATCACAAGCAGAATATATCGGTTCACATCTGCCTCTACGCCCTTACATTATTTGCAGGGGATTGCAGTTAAAATGCTGCACGTGTGGACACTCGGAAAAGNACATTGGGACTTGGGAATTGTCGTTCGAAGGTACCCAGGGCTGTCTAGCCGTTAATCTCTGAGAAACTTCCCCAGGTTTAGCTTTAGGGTAGCTTTTAGCTCTTCAAGAGCTTCCTTTTCGCAAACTGGGCCCCAACGATTATTGACAACCCCAACAGCCCGATCTGATTAGCTAAGGTAGGACCCGGAGCTCCGTTACATGATAGCGTGCCAAGGGACTAGAACGGTAGAACGGTGGAAGGAACTGTGGTACACCAATGAACAAGCTCCGTCCGACTCTTTCTGCTAGGTTCCATTTGAGCGACAAATCATCTATCCTAACGTTATCTGAATACTTCTTAGTTCCCCCGGCAATACTCAATGGGGTGCCAGCTTAGTCTCCACAGCAGACTATCTTGGTCTGGCGAGGAGCCCCTGCCTCCTAGCCTCAAGTTCATGCAGATCAAAAGTTGTACACTTAAGCAGCTTAGAGAGAGAAACAAAAAAGAAGAAGACTCAACTATTTTTGGAGATGACGCCTTTTCTCTCACATCCTTTAGGCCGTTTGCCACCATAGGGATGCTCTGCTGCTTGTGCGGGTGCCAAGCTCAGAAAGGCTTGGAGTAATGAGCTCCACAGCACCGCTATATCTCACTGCTCCGCTTACGGCTGTCACTTAATCGGGAGAGTGACGAAATCCTTTAGTTTTGACCCAGCACATTTCTTGCAATTGGCGTAATTCGCTCACTACTCCGAATCTGATCCCGTACGGGACATTGCGCACGCTGTAGGGAGTGATCCGGCGAGTACAGCGCAACGTATAGACTTGCAGTTTAGGTCGTAATTGCTGTGAATATTCACTGTAGAAGTGATCCGTCGGCCACAAAATTATTTTGGCCTGCACTAGAATATGAGGGTTTCCTCCTCTTAAGTTGATCCAAGCAGATCTTCAATCACCAGGGAGGTGTGAGTCCATCCATTCTGCGCTGTAGCCATGCCTTTGTTCAGATGCTCACAATCTGGACGGATGCAATAGAGCCACATGCCGTAGAATGAGTCGTTCATGCTCCAATACCAGCACTGGAAGCAAAATACTAGGGGCCAGATTTGAGGGAATACACCCGCTGAGCAGATGCATTCAAGATGTGCCGAACTCGTGTTACTGCCTCACGGCAAGTAGCAACACCAGAAGCTGAACTCCTCCCAGCACTGTCCACGCACGCACGCGTCTATACCAGCTAGGCCTTTCCTATTTTGCTGGAAGAGTGTTGAAAGCCACCGCCACCTTGTGAGCTGGAAGGCTCGCTTGTTTTATGTTTTCATTCGCCTGCGCGTGGAACTGAGTATAGCAGAGCTGCTACATAAGGTATAGTCGCACGGGACAGCAGTGCTTTCCCAACCATTCATGAGTGCAGCGGGGAAGAACAGAAGGTGCGGCTAATGAACACTGTGAAGGTGCCCCCTATCGTAAAGCGAGATACAATGGTCTCTCACTGTGGAACAGATGTCTCATNTAGGGATTTGCGGCAGCTGGTGCAAGCTGCATTCAGGCAAACACGTTGCTACCTTCACAACTGGCTGCATAGTGTCTGACTGAATAATATGCAGCACAACCGTTGAAATTTGCCACTGATATGGCTCATGCATGCGGTACTCCAGAAGTAGCAGTGCACCAGTTCTCTTTTGGGAATTAACGATCAGGAGTCAAATATCTGCGGACTGGCTAGAAAAAATAGAGGGGCAGCTTCAACGTCTCAGTGTACAAGCTCAGTACAGTGGATGAAGGACTGACGTTGGAGAAGTTTTGGATTTCGGAAGACAAATTCGGCTGGCAAAGCAGACTCACTAGGTGTGGCGCAACCAGCAGAACAAGAATGCCCATAAGCGTGAAAGTGTGGAGAAGCAATATCAGATGTGCAGGCCTGTGCTACCACAAGCGTCAATAGACAAATCACCTGCTCAAATCCTAAAACGTCAGCCTCCGGCACTATATATTTGCTCTGATCCTAATATCCTCCTTCATGCTTGATAGCGCTGGAGGATGGGATAGGATGCTACAGGAAACATAGAGGTAGAAAGCGTGCTCTCTGTCTGTACTAGCGCTTGGTTTATCAGATATTTGGATTCAATTCCCAGCCAGCCAACATCTCAAAGAAGCATGCGGACAATACAGGTTGTGAAGGACTGTGTTTGCGGCACCGAAGCACTCCGCAAAGGCGTCGGAAAGCTCTGGAAGGTGTGCGACAATGACAGTTTGCAACTGCTATCTCCAGTCAAAGTGCGTGCAGATAAAGAATTACGTATTAGGCGAAAATCCTCATACAATAGTGAAAACGCCTAGCGAATAACGATGATTCATCTACTAGAGGAGAATTTCACCGGGCCTGAGAACTCGTAGTTGAGTACTTCCGATTCATTTACACTCATCAATTAAAGTTGAATATTTTGCCGAGACACCGGAGGCGAGCGCCTTCGCAGCGCAGCAGAAGGGCATTCGTCTTGACCCACTACGCGAGCTCATGCATCGGCGTGTACAAACGTTTTTCGTGTGTTTAGCAGTGCACGCGAATCAGTTTAGCACCGCTTATTTTTTTGTAGTGTAAGTGAAGTTTCCCATTTGTAGGTGCAGCTAACGTGCAGATGGCCATGTGTGGACTGAAATTCGGTGCCCCCTTCCGGTCTCATCCACCTAGAGTGCCGGTGCCTTCTGTCTCCAGGTGCCACGAAAAATGTTAATCTGGAGCGTAGTGTTTTAGAAAACTAGATTTTTTAGTTACTTTTTTTGTGCTCCATCCTCCTAGCATGCAAAAGCCGAAGTACTTGACAGGGTGCAGGAGGGCTTCCATTCACTACGCTAGCATTTGTGCTGTTGGGCTTCAATCACCCACATTGCCAAACACACTTCTTCTAATAGTACTTAATTGCAAAGCGCAAGACAAGAGGTACTAGTCCATCTAGGCCTTTCC